TCCGAGAGTCATATAGGGTCAAATAATATGTCAAATTCAAATTGACCAAAATATTTTTTTAAAACTAAGGTTATGATCCAAATATGAAAATAAATACGGATCAAAATGTCATTAAATTATAATCAAAATTTAAAATCCTAGAATATGGACTGAAATGTTCTTAAACTACAATCAAAATTTAAAATTATAAATCTCCAAGTTTTGATCCAAACTAAAACCAAATCAAAAGATGGAATAAAAAAAGAATGTCTTTAACATATAATAATTTTTTTCGTATACTGTTAATTGGAGGTTCGTTTGGTTTGACCCAAATGTTAATTAACAATAGGAGCTTGCGCCTATTGGAAACATAAGAACCCACATGTAATAAACCTCTATTCATTACAATAGAGGGAATCAATTTATCTGTCCTCGAAATGTTCATCCTAGCGTTTTATCTGATTTTTTTGGGAGACTACAGGGATCTTTATATTTTTATTTTAAGGGAGTTGAGGAATTTGAGTTACAATGAAATCAACTGTGTCTTGTCTTCGTTCTATCCTTTGTATTGTTTCAATGCGGTGGGAAATAAAAGTGGGTTTAAATGTTTACACTATATGTAAAAAATTATTATATATTTCACGTCCTAGCTCTAGAAGGAGAAATACAGGTAGTATTAATAATTGTCATTTTCTCATGTGGTAAACCATACTCTTCTGTTTATGCATGATTATGTCCTTTCTCTTTAGTTTGTTATCCTTCATCTTTCAATAATCCAGCAGCGTCTGGTAGTTTTTGTTTGGCATTTGTCTTTTTAGTTTTCTTATTCATTTTGCTTCCTTTAATTTCTGCTTTATCTCTGTTCTGTTCACCTTCATTGTCCTTACCATACTTCTTCCCATCCTTTTTTCCCTCACAACTAACTTGAGTGAATTTGTGATCCATCAAAGTATTTAAAACTGGAGGACTGGCATTGACCTTTTTGAGTTGAAACAGAATGCATGATACACAACGGGAAAAAAAGCAGTCTAATACTATCTTGGAGGGATGTAGCTAAACTTGAGTATTAAGACATCAGATCAGTTGAGAATCTGGAATTCCTGATAAATAATTATGCATTTAAAGAACTTGTATAATAAGCCTTTTGTCCCTTTGCAGTATCTTTTCTTACCATCTTGATGGTCATAGGTGATCTGTGAAAATAGCATCTTGTCCTTTGTAAGTTATAAATTTAGTCCTTTTCCCCAGTTTTATGTCACCATCTGCTTATGCGTTCATGTTGAATGAATTTTACTTTTCGTGCTTTGTAATTTCTGGAATATCATAAATTTTACTCAAATGCCAGGCTAGGAATTAGGATCAAGAGTATGCTACAGTTGCAGAGTATGTCCACTCAACAAACATTGACATACTATTATACTTATTGCTGCTGTTGGTGGTGGTGTTTTTGTTCTTGTTTTTATTTTTGCTGCAGAGCTTTTAATTACTTTTGCACCTTTCTGTCGCAGGTACTTGTGCCAATTGCTAACGGATCAGAGGAGATGGAGGCTGTAATGATTATCGACATTCTACGGAGAGCCAAAGCTAATGTTGTTGTGGCGTCAGTTGAAGATGGATTAGAAATTGTAGCATCTAGAAAAGTGAAAATAGTAGCAGATAAGCTTTTGGACGAGGCTGTTAAATTACAATATGACCTAATTGTTCTGCCGGTCAGTTAATATAGCCATTAACATCAACCTCTTCACCATGTGTACATATGTAAATAAGTTTATATTTGCTTCCTCCTACTTTGTTTGCAGGGAGGGCTTCCTGGTGCACCAGCATTCACAAACTCGGCAAAGCTTGTTGATTTGCTTAAAAAGCAGGCTGAATCAAATAAGCCGTATGGGGCTATATGTGCTTCTCCAGCTCTAGTGCTTGAGCCACATGGTTTACTCAAAGTACGACTTCAAGGCTTACCCTCGTGTGTGATTGATTCAATCATTTGTTGGTCTTCAAATAATATTCTCTACATTCTAATTTTCTTTTTCCGATTTTCTTTTTTTAGGGGAAGAAGGCAACAGCATACCCTGCTATGTGCAGCAAGCTTTCTGATAAAAGTGAAAGTGAGAATAGGGTGGTGGTTGATGGGAACCTGATCACAAGCAGAGGGCCAGGGACTTCCATGGAGTTTGCACTGGCCATAGTAGAGAAGTTCTTTGGCCGTGAAAAAGCCCTCGATCTTGCAAGAAGCCTGGTTTTTGTATAATGAGCTAATAATAGCCCTGTGGTGGAGAACTGGGCGTAATCAGTAGTTTCTGTATAAACTAAGTTGCAACGACCTAGTATCTGCTGCAGTTTTTGTATGAGTATTGTGCGTTTGCTCGGTTTGAGTCGTCTGTGATTGTACTTATAAACGGTTTAAATACACGATGAAGTAATGTGACATTTAAGACTATAATGAAAATGTCACCGTGTATGTGTGCTATCTAAATGATAAATGATGGGTTTCCGCCGTTTCTGTCATTAGTTGGGGAATTCTTTCTATCTCACGGTGTAGTGTACAGGTCTGCTGTTCTCTGATTTCATTAGGATTGGGCTTGTATAAAGGGTCGCTGGTTCATGCGATTTTATCTCCGCCTATCGCTAGTCTTGTGATATTCAAGTAGATAGAAGGACAACTGCGCTCAGCTGTAAGCTGTACGCATTTGAGTTGTTTCTTATGTTAGCTGAGCCTACATGCGGAACTTTCCACGACATTTTTCGCGTGGACGAGATAGCGCATATGATGCGAACTACTCTAGATAGGACTCGCTAGCTTGATCGGGAGGAGGAGCTGGTCTTCATACGATTGCTCTCCTCTTTGTCGTCATGCTTTTGATGTTTAGGATTCTATTGGTTGCAATAGTCAAGCCCATGATAGTGAGATCGAAATCCTTACAAAAATGGTCGGCTACGTCGGTCCATAATGGATTTGGTTTGATTCTGGCCCCCCCAACCTACCTTATTGCGAAAGGTAAGCATTGTGATAAAGACATAAATAATTTCACAAAGAAACCAAGCTTTAACATTGATATGTGGCTCTTCGAGCGCCATATTAAGTTTTGGACAAAAAACCTAGAGGCATCACCATCGCTATTATTGATCCCTATATAAAGCTCAGTTACTATCTTAACAAGAATTTTTCGATAAATAATGCTAGTAATTGTTGTCCTTTTGTAGACCAACTCCCAATAAATATTTACGATGTACCCTTTACAAAATCATGTAGGAAGAAATGAGGGGCAGACAATATTGGAAATCCAATGCAAACAATAAAAATCAGTAGAAAACGTATCGAATCAATGTAATCGCCTAATCGGTATAGAACTATAGAAGTCAACGTGATCATTAATTTTAGAATCAGCATTAACACATGTACCGATTTCTCCTTCTTTCTTTATGATTTTCTTAAAGATGGTCCTTTGTATGATTTCTTTTATTATTATTATATTTTGTTCCGTTTATCGTATTTGACAGATCACATGCAATTCCTTATATATTTTCGTAAAGATTAGTAGGGTCTAGCTAGTCATGTAGGGTCCTTTCGGAACTAGCTTCTCGATAAGCATCTCTACTTATTTAACTCATTATTAGCTCTTTCTCGTAGATAAGCAAGCCTTTTTATGTAAGTGGTAAAAATTTCAACTGTTAAAGTTGTTACCTTTTGGGACGAGGCATTAATAAATTCCACAAATTTGTGAAATTTAACAAAATTCACTATATGGACTTTCCTGAGCTTATAGCCGGGTGGTAACATCACATTGACTATAGATGCAATGGGAGTTCATTTGTACTCGTTGTCGTTTCGGAGTGACTGGGTTTGGGGGGATTCTTTTTTTTTTATGCATCAATGGTGATTGGCTGAAAATACAGACCCCAAAATTTTTATTAATACATCTTGTAATACGTCTTAATTATCCCCATCCTCTATTATATTCCTTCTGAAGGTCTATTTTTCTACCCCTTTTCGAGATGGAATTACGAGGGAGTTAGAAATTTGAAAATCCTCATTATCCACTGGATTCAGAGTTTCTCTGCTATAAAAAAATAGTGGATAGAACACTATTTAATCATAACTGTTGATTATTTAGTGGATGGTTATGAATTTTTCTTTGAGTGCAAATTAAGAATGATTGTGATACACGGGCACGGTGAATGTAAGATTTAGAATGTTTCACAATCATCCAATAAATGATCAACAATTGAAATTAAAAATAGTGGCCTCTCCACTATTTTTTTTTATGTAGAGGATCCAAATTCTTATCTACTTCCTTACTCAATTTTTTTTGAAATAATTTGTTTGCTTCAAGTGATAATGAGGGATATGGAAACCATTAGGCCTGTCCAAAAATCTCATCTCTGCTCTGGACCGACCGGGGCCACGGCCCCTTAAGATCCCGGGCCTGACGAGGCGCGGGTTCCGGGCCCGCTGCGTACGGCGCTGCCTTAGCAGGCGGCGCCGCGCCCGAACAACGCCGGGTACCGGGCAAAATCCGGGCCGCGGCATCCGTGCCCTGGAGCCCGGCCCGGTGGCAACGGTCATAGAGTGCAGCCGTTGCCAGGAAAGTATGGCCGCGGTCGGGCCGGGCCAGCGCCGGACCGGCTCCGGCCGGCACAAACTATCACGCAGATCACCTGTTGTGGCCAAAACGGCCGGACCAGCCCGAGTCACAACGGTCACGAGAGTGACCGTTGTAGTCAAAACTGCCGGGCCGGGCCGATCATAACGGCCAAAAACGGCCTTTTGACCATTTTGTGCCTAAAAACGATCAAAAAACGGCTATTTTGTGAGGTTATTTTGGTCATTTGTTTAGGGGGCTGGCTCTATAAATAGAGGGGGGGTTTCATTTGTTTTCTTCACACCAAAACTCTTCTACTTCTCTCTTATACTCTTATACTCTCTTATACTTTTTAATCCTTTCATCAAATGGCTTCCGGATCTGATTATGAAGAGCAAAACCTATATTCCGATCTTGAAATGAGTCCTCCTACTGGGTCTACTCCTACCGATGTTAATCCCGAATCCGATGGCGACGAATCTGCACTAAGAGCTAATAAAAAGCCAAGATCCGATGTGTGGAATTTTTACGAGAAGATCGACGTCACCAATGATGAACACGGTAGAATCCTCACCCAGAAGGCTAAGTGTACGTTGTGCGGAAAGATTTTTCAAGCTCATCATAAGAGCGGCACCAACCACCTCAAACGCCATTTAGATAAACACAACAAAGGCCAGACTCCTTAAGGTGATATCCGACAATCTATGATTTCTCAATCCTCCTCTTCTGGTAGTCTCGGTAGTTGGAACTATGACGCTGCCAGAGCCAGGAAATGCGTAATCAGGTTTATCATTCTTAAAAATCTTCATTTTAAATTAGTAGAAAATGATGAATTTGAAGATATGTTTAGAGATGGTTTTTATCCTGCATTTAAAAAAATTTCTCGTCAAACTTGTCAACGTGATATTTTAAAATATTATCAAGATGAACAAGGGAAAATAATTTCTTATTTTAAAATTTTAAATTGTAAATTTTCTTTAACTTCTGATATTTGGACATCTAGAGCACAAACTGGATATTTATGTATCACAGCACACTGGATTGATGAAAATTGGCAAATGTTTAAAAGAGTTGTTTCTTTTATTGCAATAGAAGAGTCACATACTGGTGCTAATGTTGCAAATTTAATAATTGAAGAACTTATGAAATTAGAAATTTCAGAAAGAATATTTTCTCTTTCACTAGATAATGCAAGTAATAACAATGTAGCTTTTGATTTTATTGGATCAACTCTATCATTGCCATGTCATGGTGATCTTTTTATATTAGGTGTATCTGTCATATTTTAAATTTAATTGTTCAAAGTGCATTTACTGAAATTAAACCCATGATAGAAAAGGTTAGAATAGTTGCTTATATGCATAATTCTTCTAAACAAAGACTTACAAGATAGAAACAATTTTGTAAAAAAAATATAAAGCTCAAACCAATTCCAAAAGATGTTGACCATAGGTGGAATTTTACCTATGCAATGTTAAGTGTAGCAATAGAATATAAAGGCATTATAACTAATTTTATAAATTATTATGCTTCTAGTTCTAGTTCTGGTAGCACTTATGGAATAACTGAAGATGAATGGACAGTTATATGTAATTTAAATGAAATGTTACAAGTTTTTTATGATGCTACAATGTTATTATCTGACTGTTATTATCCAACCATTACTTTAGCTGCTTTACAAATTTTAAATATTTAAAAAGTTTTTGGAAAATATCGTATGGATGATACTTTTGGATCTATGATTTTTTAAATAGAGAGCAAATTTAATAAGTACTTTAGGCCTATTCCTTATATTTTTGGTTTGGGGGTTCTTATTGATCTATGCTTGAAGGATATTGGCCTTCGAAGTTTGTTACAATCCTTGTATGGTAATCAGATTATAGACTTAGATAATAGAACCACCCTTACTGCTACTACTCATCATTTACCTATTAGAAATTATTTTCAAACCTTATATGATGAGTATGCAGCTAGACATGGTATAGCTACACAACAGTCTACAGCTTTGAGCACAGGTCGAGGTAAAAGTGTAAGTTTTGATAGGTATGCAATGGTAGCTGAGCTAACTGGTGGATCTGGACTTGGATCGTCATCATTGGAGGTTTCTGAAATAGATGAATATTTTTCTGCTTCTTTAGTTAGATGTCAAGGAAATGCTTTAGATATTTTGCAATGGTGGAAAGTATATGGATCAGTTTCATATCCTATACTTTCCACCATGGTTCGTGACTTACTAACAGTGCAGGTTTCGACGGTAGCTTCGGAATCCGCCTTCAGCACAGCAGGATGTTTGATCGACGACCACATGACATGCTTAGATCCGTATACTGTACAAGCGGTGATGTGCTTACAAGATTGGTGGAGGTACGAGAAGCGAACGCAAGGCATCGATCGGATGGCTGGAATTAAAGATAAATTTAAAGAATTGGGACTAGCAGATAGATATAAAGAATAAATAATATTCATCAAATTGTAATTTTTATATCTTAGCTTAAAATTTGTAAAGAATTATTTTAGAAATAGTTACAAATAATAGTGATATAGGTGAGTAGGTGCCAACCTAGTTGGGATGAACTTATCTATTGTGATGCGATGAATTTTAAAATAAATTTATACTTGTAATTCATAAATGATTTATTAATTATTAATAAAGAATTTATTTTTATATTTTTTATTTGTAATTTATGTCATTTTAAGTGATAATAAAATTATTGTTTTTTATTAATATTTTTGTCTTTTTGTATAATTTAAATTTAAATAAAAATAAAAAAAAAGAAAATAAACCGGGCCGATCCCTCGGGGTACCCGGGTCCAGGTCCGGGCTTCGGTTTTGCCCGGCCCGGGCCCGGTCGGGTCGGGCCGGCCCGGATGGACAGGTCTAGAAAGCATCATGCACTGTACATCAATTACCAACATACCATTTCT